TGCTTGCTACCTTGAGGTATATAGAAAAAACATTTAAAGCTGTGTCTATGTTCGAATTGCCGAATCTTTCCCAGTCGATTCAGAGGGTTCCGATTCAATTCAGAGAGGTTAAAGGGTCCTGCAATTCAATTCAGATTCAGAGATACGGCCACTGAATTGGGCCGAATCTCCACCGAATCAGATCAGGGACCGAAGCTTTGCACAGCCCTAATAATCAACTAGTCCTCATGCAAATCTTAAATTCAGCTGAGCATTGAGCTGTCCATTCCCCTATTCTGGCTGTGTCCCAGGTGACACAAATATCAAACTGGATGGCATTTATATACCCAATGCTCAACAGCTCATGTCTCCTTACCAACCATTCTGGCAAATATACAGGATGACAGGTAACAGCAAGTTCTTGGCCTACATGACATCTTGTGGTAAAGGATTCCAAAGAATAATCATATGCTGTGTGAAAGAAAGGTTTTCATTTATCACTTTTAACTTTTCCACCTTTTGGGTATCCCTTGTTCCTGTGTAATGAGATAGGGAGTCAGAATCTCCTGGGCTAACCCCACAATATAATTCATTATTTTATCTTTTATAGCATCTCATCTGATTTGCCTCCTTTCTAAAGTTTTAAAAATGCACACTTTTCACTGCCTCCTCATATGAGAGTTTTTCAATACACTTAATCATTTTAATAATGCTTCCCTAACCCTTCATTTTTCAATATCCTTTTTGAGATGCGATAACAGTACAGCACAGAATTTAAGATGAGGCATGGCTGACTCATATAATGGCACTGTAATATTTACCGTTTTATTTTTCAAACCACTCATATGTATCCTAATGCCATTTGCTTTTTAGGATTATAGCTACACACTTGAAGTCATATGTCTTCATTGAGTTTTTCATGGTGCCAGCTTTTCCCACCGCCCAGAGTAGACAGTTAATTTAGGACCCTGTAAGGTGTACAAATAAATCCACTATTCCTGTTCAATATGTACTGTTTTCCATTTATGAACCCTAAATTTCATTTGCCATCATGTTGCCCATTCATCTACATATAATTCGTTCACTGTGAATTTATTCGAAATGTTCTCTGAATCTGCATAAGCTAAATATTTTACATCTTCTTGCAAGTTTGGACACCTGGTTTGCTTATTCCCTTTTTCCATGTGATTAATAAATATATTATGCACCAGACTTAATACTTCTCTTCCTAAGACTACGCTTACCTTGAGAAACCCCATTAGTAACCTGCTGCTAAGAAGAACATTGACCACTTATTTCTATACTTGGTTGCCTGCCTTTAGCTAGCTTTTTATTTGCAAATAGTTTTTGGTCCAAGTTTGAAGAAACTTGGACCAAAAACCAGCTGCAAATAAAAAACAGTTAAAAAAGGCCAGGCTTAAATAAAGTACATCTGGCTTAGACAAACAGAGTTCCTTCTTGTGGGGGAACCTGACAAAAGCCATCTGTAAGCCTAAATCATGTCAACCTGCTCTCCTTTAACCAATGCTTTATTAATATATTCAAAGTGATATCAACTGGCATCATTCAACAATAGCAGAAGCACAGTTCAATAATTACTTAATGTAATAATTAATGGTTTACCTGCTATAGAGAGAGCTTTCTGAAAGTGCATCCATTAATGGCCCGATAATAAACTAAAGAAAGAGAAATTAAATTTACATGAAAGCAAAAAATAAAATCGTGACAGGCACCAACTAGATTTATTTTACTTGTCCTGAATCAGGTACAGGAAGAATTTCACCTGGTGTGAAGCATTTTATTCAATAATAGCAACTCCCAGCAGCAGCCAGGGGTTCCCTGATGAGCTTTGTGGACAGTCATTTCTGTGGGAAAAACCACACTTGTTGAACTGTGTGGTATATGCACCTGGTACAAAGGATAAGCTATAAACTCTTGCAAGGGACAAAAGAGAAATCAGTACTAGAAACACCTGAGAGTTAAAAGAGGGGGCAGAGCGCAGCTATGAACCCAGCCATGTCCTGACCCCTGGATATGGCCATGCTGCATGCCAGCATAATCCGGCTCTGGAAGCTCCAGTAATTAATGCTACCAACATTCTTCTGCTGTCAAATTTCTGGACCCACAGGGACGCCATGGACCAAATATGGCTCATGGGCCAGTGGTTGAGCACCACTGGCCTACAGAGACATATGCACCTTTCTGTACCTAAGGCCGCTAACCAGAAGGCTTCAGAGTCTATCCTCTGAGTAGAGAGGCACTGAACATGCATTTCAAAGCCTGCTGGGCAAGCTTCTCCATGGACAGATTGTTCTGTTGAATGGGCTCAACAGTTCCATTTAAGAAGCACCTTAGGAACTCTATAGGACTGTAACATCAAACAGTACCTTGGGAGAAAACAACTATGTCTGCAACTAGATTTAACCTTCAAGTAAGAGTTGTAGCTGACTAAAGTTCAACTAATTAAGATAAGATTATGCTGGCCAGAGAGGCAGATCCAGGATTTTTAAAGGGCTGGTACAGGGGCAACAACCAGCACTGCAGGGGTGTCTGCAGCCCCCTCCATATACCCCTCTTCTCTCCCCCCCACCCCGCAAAGTGGAGAGGGAAGATCATGCCCATCGGAACAGCAGCCAGAGACCTTTTTTAACTCCCTAAGTCAGATAAGAAAAGAGTGTGGAGGGGAAGGAAGGTGCCACTGAGCAGCGCGGGGGAATGCTAAGAAAGGAGGGATTCTTACATGATTTGTAAAAAGTTACTAGCTGTTGCTCCTGTGGCAAAAAGGGAGGTACAACTGCATCACTGCACACCGCCTCCCTCTCCGCCCCCAGATCTGCCCCGGGCACTGACCCTTAAAGTATGAATCTGTTAGTGAACAACAGAGTACTACAACAAGGACTCCTCTCTTGGACTAAATAAATCGGGCCACTTACATAGATAATCTCAGACTGTAGGCCACTTCTAAATAATATTATTATAACTGTATGGCTAAACTTGTTCTCATATGGGACTTGTCAAATTACATCTCATGCATTCAGGTAATCCACTTAGATTTTTTTTTTTGGATTACAATATGTTTATTTTGGTAAACAGCAGGGAAAGACATGCCCTTACCTCTGAAAACCCTGGTGAATCTGGAATGCATTTTGCCTCATGAAGCTCCAAAAAGTGAATTACTCCTTCCTTTGTTATTGTTTTGTTTTCACTCTCAAACATTCTTTTATAAATACACATATGCCATGAAGGGTGAAACAACCAACAGCCTGTGACAAAAACAGATTTATTTTAAACAGGTACATGAAATAATAATGACATTTCAACACATTTAAAGTATACCAAACTAATACAAAACTACTAAACTTATTATGAAATGCTACTAACAATGCTTTTTAGAAAGGTGATAGTTAGCTATTTATTTGGCTTATAAAATATGCTTCTCTCTCTAAGCACAACTACAAAATATAAACGTTTAACACAGCTTGAAAAACTTACCCAAAGCTCCCAAACACAAAGACTAAAACTACTAGCAAAAATAAAAAATGCAGGGTAGGGCACTTTGTGCCTGAAAGCCTGCGTAACATTTCCCCCAAACAAATGTTTGGTCCAATAAAAGATAACACCAAAAAAAACTTCTTGCATATTTGCTGGACCATCACATCCAAAAACTCCAACCCTACTACATTCCCCCAACATAAATTCATAATCTTTTGGGGGGGGGGGGGGG